TGTTAGATCAATCTTAATCCATTCATGTAATATAACTATGCTTAGATAGACTCTTTTTTTTTTTTAAAAAAAAGTTCGTTCCATAGATGCTTGTCATAAGGTTGAAATATGAAGTAAAGCTAAAAATCAGAGAAAAAAGTTGTTTGAACTGTAAATTAAATTAGGTTTTGAATAAAAAGTAAGTTACCTCTAAATGATACTCCTCCGGTCCTTAATATAAAACCCATTTAACTAATTTGATTACATTAAGGAAGTTAGGTAAATTAGTTAATTATAAGAAAAGTAACACATTTTTCCTAATCTTTATTAATACCCCATCTCCCTTTTATACTTAATTATGGTTGAGGGAATATCTATAGGAGTGATTTAGAGAAAATTGATAAATATGAGAAATGGGTCTTATATTTAGGACCGAAACTAACTCAAAAATTGGGTCCTATATTAAGGACCGGAGGAGTAGTACAAAATATGAAATTTTTTCCATTTAACTAGCATTTTTAATCCCAATTTAGCTTCTGAAACTTCTTGATGATGCACTTGAGCCCATCACCAATTGGACATAACTCCTAACTCTAAGTATATTATATACTACCTTCATTTTTTTATATATAAGAATTTGAGAAGTTAAATTTGATTTTAAATATGAGACCTCAATCTATTTTGTTTTTTAAATTTATAATTTTTTTTAAATGTTCCTATTGATTGTAAGGGGTTTTTATTAAGAAACAGCTTTGAAGTCTATGATTAAAGATGATAGCTTGAAAAAGCAATTTCACATTTATTATAAATAACTAATTTAATTATATTAATATACCCAAATTAAGTATCTAACACTTATACGTTATACTAACTCAGACTTTTAATATAAAAACTAATTAATTAATTTGAGTAGATTAAAAAAACTAGTTAAATTATTTATAATAAATAAGTGTGGTCTTTTCTAAAATATCCTTGTTTATCAAGTATATTGATTAGAACTACTATTATTACAAAAACTATCTTGAAAAAAAAGATAAATATTAGGACAAAATTGCTTGTTATCTTATATTTAGGATAAAAATAAAAATTGAATAAATTCTAACATTAAAAATCAGAGGTAGGATTAAAGAATTTAGATAGTAGTTTTTCGGAGAAAACATCTCCTCGTTTGTTCAATTACTCAAGTGCGGAGAGTAATGATGAATAATTGAAAATAAGTTCAAATCTTAATTCTCGTGAAGAGACTACCACATTATATTATATTATATATATAAAAAGAAAAAGAAAAAAAAAGGTAAATTGGGGGTGTGGGTGTTGCAGAGCGGGAAAAAAGTGAAGGACGGTGGAGAGAGAGTGGTGGGCTTCGTTTTAGTTGAGCTGAGCAACACAGCTGGATCTAGCTCATCCCAGCTGGCACTGTACCTTCTCCTCCCAATACCTCCTCCCCCCCCCCTCGTTATTTTTTATATATATAATTTATATATCTTTTGTAAATTAAGTTAATATCCATGCCACCCCATTACCTTCTGTTATTTTATACTTCTTCTTCTCCTTCCTTTTTTTCTCATATAAAAAAAAATTGCATTTCCTTTAACTACCCATTGCCCCATAACAAAGGGTACAGAAGCCATTCCTTCTCCCCTTCCGTAAATTACAATCTTACCCCTCTATCTATCTTTTCCTTCCCGGGATTTCTCCTTGTCATTTTATATGTACTCTTTCGCGCAACTTGTCCATGTCTTTCCCAATTTGCCCTTACTCTTCTTTTTTTCTCACTAGGGGCTGTTTTGGAACAGCTTATAAGTAACTTATAAACTGTTTTTCAATAGTGATTTACGGAAGGTAAGTATGTGAAAAGATTTTGTCTTGGTTTACATGAAACGTGTTTATAGGGAATTTTCAGCACTCTACCAAACGGGGCCTGGATTTATTTCATGAGCTTCAATTTAAATTTAGAAACAATTACAATTAGGTTCACCTTAAATACAAAAATGTCTCTTGAAATCATAAAATTATTCTAAAATCCCAAGGGACTTTTTTGTAATAAGTTTTATTTGTTTAATTATCAAATTGCCTTTATCATTTTTTTTAAGTTTGCATTGACAACTGAAAGAGCAATCGTTGACAATTTAAGGTGTAATGATTAACAACTATCGCGGCAAGTATTGACAATACATTTTCTCAGTACATCACAAAATATAATGCATGAGTTGTGAATATCTGCCGTGATAGTTGTCAATCCTTACACCTTAAGTTGTCAACTACTACTCTTTCAGTTGTCAATGCAAACTTTAAAAAAGAAGAAGGATAATTTGGTAATTAAACAAAAAAAATTTATTGCAATAAGATCTGTTAGGACTTTAGCATAATTTCATGATTTCAAGGGGTTTTTTTGTATTTAATTCTTTTAGGTGAAACCTAATTGCAATTTTTTCTTAAATTTATCTTATTTGGTAAAAAAAAATTGACTTTATCTTAACATTTAATATATATATTTTTAGTATTGTCTATAATTATTTCTCTCTCATCACATTCTAACACAATCTCTTTTATTATTATTTTTATTTATTATACAGACATATTTAAAAATAAAACTATATTTCTAACTTATTTATTATTTTTAACTAATTTTAATTAATAATTTGTTTCTTTCCTGTGTATAAAAAAATTTTTAATTAATAATTTGTTATACATGAATTTATTATTTACTCCCTCCGTTTTTTATTATAAGAGATATTTGATGCTTATAGCATGTTCCTATATATAAGAGACACTTAAAAGTTGTCTCTATTTTTTTGTGTTGATTTCCTATTTTACCCATATTTATTGTCTCAAACTCACACTCTCCGTCCCTTCCACTTCTCTTTCTTTGAATAATTTACCATTGTTCTCTCACGCTCTCTCTCCTTATTAATGAGGGCTTTTTTGGAAAAAAAATTATACTTTTTACATATTGATTGTTCTTAATTAATTTTAACTGTTATTTGTCTCTTATAATAAGAAACGGAGGGAGTAAAGTTTAATAAGGATAGGGGGAGTATTTATTTGTTTTATTCTTGTCACCTTCTCAATGTACTTGGCTATATTAAATTCACCAACAGCATGGTCCCCAAAAAAATAAAAAAATAATCACAATAACAACGTGGGGGAAGGCGAACAACCCCTTTTCAGCGTATTAATTTAAGTAATAATAATTACAATAATTACATATATTCATTAAGAATATTTACTGTGATGTTTCAACTACTGCTAAGCCGTTGTTGTAATTAACTTCTTTTCGTCATTATTGTACTTAATTTCAGTCATTATTCTACTCAGTTAATTCTTCCCTTTGCTTGCATATAACTTTGTTTAGAATAATAATTTTTATAATAAAAAAATGAATACATAAAAGTATTGTAAACATGTGGTTACATTAATTAAATATAATATCATGTCACCATAGAATTATATTATGTTGTTTCCACGTCATGTCGGTCTGATGAGACTCTTTTTGCTGGCCAAGAAAAGGTATGAGACTCTTCTTTTTTTTTGGACATATTGTTGATTTAAATTAAATTCGTGTATTATTTTACAGACAGTATATTGATATACGCATAATAATGAAATTCACTTTTCCTTCTCAAGGCATAAAAAATTTACATTTCCTTCTTAAAAAAAAAAAATCAACTTGTGTTGTGCCTTTTGTTTTACAAAATTGTGTGAATTTAACTGGAACAATTTATTTCCATTAATATTTCATATTTGATCTGAATATTTAAAATTTTATTTTCATTTTAACACACACGCAATTTCTAATAAATTGGAATACGTAATAAATCCAAATTTTTATTAGAATAAATTTACACAATTTCTAAAAATACATGGTACAATTTATTAGAAGAAAGCTGTTATTATTTCTGCATGTACCATATGTCCATATGTGCCAAAAGATTTTGTTTCTGTTATTCTCATAGCAGCTTTAATAAGGAAATAATCCATTATTAATTCATTGATGTCACAAATTTGCTGATTTATACAATATATCTATCAAAAATGATGATATTGCTTTTACCACGAAGATCCAATGATAGCAATTTCAATAAAGAAATAATCTACTGTTCCCTCGCATTTCAAATATATAAGTTAAAAAATCAATTAAGATAGTTATTTATAAAAAAGATTTGTTAAATTTTTTAAAATTATATTTTTAATCATTTACATTGACTTATCTTTAAAAATAAAATATGTAATCAATAAGAATAATTTGGGAGAAAAATTATAAATTTGGAATAAAACAAATCATAAATCTTATATTTGAGGTGAAATTTTTTTAACTAGTTATTTTTTTTTTAATCTGGTGGAGTATTTGCAAAAATATACATTACTATTATTATTTTTACTATTACCATTACTAGTAAAAGTAGTGAAAAAAGATATAAGAATGGACATTAAGCACATCATTACAGCAAGCATACTTTTTATGTAATTGTTTTTACATTTATTGTGTGGACAAAAGAAATAATAATATCATAATCCAAATGTCTTAAAATAGGAAAATGCCATGTAATAACCCTAATAAAGACAAAAATCCTTGTCACACCTTTCTTCCCATTGGGGAAGCTATTGCTTTTAAGACAAAATAATTAATTACATCTTTCATCAATCTTGTTCACTTTGATTTTTTTTTTTTGTTGATCTTAAAATTAAGATGGCAAAATTGTGATATCAAGCGTGGCTTATGGCAAATACGTAATTTCAATTTACATGATATGGAAATGAAATTAAAATATGAAAACCAAAAAGAGTGCGGAAAAAGGAAACGGGAGAGCACAAGTCAAAGTTGACCTCCAAATCTATCATGAAACGGTTAAAAAAAATCGCAGAGGTACTGTGACAGATCCGTAATTTTATTAAAAATTTGAGGGTAAATTTGTCATTGGGGGTCCACCTTATAGGTTTTCCTTTTTTTTTTTTTTTGACCAAAAACCTTATAGGTTTTCCTTACTGGCTCTCCTTCTAACACATCCTAATTCCAAAATAGTGAGTAGCCGCTGTGTTTGAGACTTTGTGTGTGACTCTCTCTCTTCCCATCTGTCTCGCACTTTTCCGGCGAAAGTCGCCGGAGAACCACTGTCTCATCGCCGGAGACGGTGAGAAGCTTGAGTTTTGCCGAAGAGCAGCAATCATATCGTTCAAATATTGTTCCTTTTTCGTAAGGTGGTGAAGGAGAGTGTTCAGCCGACTGCGTGCATGTTCAGACGGCGACGTTTCGTTGCGGTTAACAATCGAAGGAGAGTTGGGAAGCGGCGACGTATGAAGTTTATTTGATTGATCGGGGTGATATGGGAAGAGTGGTTCTCGGTGTGGCGGTGAGTGTTGCGGTGACGGCATGTGCCGTTGCGGCGGTTGTGGTGGGCCGGAGACTGAGGAGCAGGGGGAAGTGGAGTAAAGTGAAGGGAGTGTTGAGAGAACTAGACGAAGGATGTGACACCTCGGAGGCGAGGCTGAAGCAGGTGGTGGATGCGATGGCAGTAGAGATGCACGCTGGGTTGGCATCCGAAGGTGGTTCCAAGCTCAAAATGCTCCTCACTTACGTTGATAATCTTCCTAATGGGTAATCATTTGATTCTCTGGGAGCGTGTCTTTTTACTTCCTAATCGGCTTATTGTGTCATTGAGTGGCATTCCCTTTTTCTTTGACGATTTTATTATGTTTTTGATCGGCATTTGATAAAATATCCCTTCTTTGATCTGAAATGGTTGTGGATTTGGTCCCTAGGTTACCGTTGGAAGAGAATGCTTTCATTTTCCCTTATTAATTTAATTTAATGCCATGGTTCTGGTATTTCTTTCCGTCTTTCCGAAGCCTTCTCTATTTCTGGAGTGGGATAGATTTATATGCTTTTAATGTTCAAATTATCTGCTTATATTCTTCTCACGTGAAATTTATTTTCGTATTCTGTTTCTGCTCCTGTTGTAGACATTTCACAGTTTATTAATATGAGGGAATTGTTATTATAACTGCATTGAAGATTGTATGCGTCTCTCGTTGGTAAATCTGATTTATTGCATCATATTGCCTTTGTTGTTTTCGTAGGAGCTTTCATATACATGACGTCCATTTCTGTAGCTGCCTATTTGTTTATTCCCTGAGAGATATCCTCCTTTTAGTTGATAGCGATGCATGACCTAAACAGATTTGGAAATTTTGTTTGTAACAACTGTAACTAATTTTTAACATGGATAATTTATTCTGTAATGAACTGTTTTGAAAATTGAACATTAGGATTGATGACTCGTTTAATGCATCAGATTAAAGTACTGTTGAAAGGTTTTAGGAATGGTTTGTAGAATCTATAGGTTCTTATTGTATAATTTCATTAAGACCTTTTCTGGGCATTACTGGGACTAGATTTCCCTGTGGAGTCTGTGGAGATGCTGTTATGAGCAGGTAGATTGCAATTAGTCAGCCATCTATTTTGATAAGGTATGGTATTTCTGTGTGGCATTAGGTACTAACACGCTTGAGCATACGTTCTATTATGATTATGGAGTCATGCTGTTTTATAGATTTGTGCATACTTGTGTCTTTGATAATTTTATGGGTTAGATACAGAAGTGATACGCATATTTTTCTTCTATCAGGACTGAGAGAGGAACATATTATGCGCTAGATCTTGGGGGAACATATTTTAGGGTTTTACGGGTTCATTTAGGGGGTCAACGACGTCCTGTCTTGGAACATGAAGTAGAAAGACAACCCATCCCCCAACACCTGATGACCAGCACAAGTGAGGTGACTAAAATTACACCCAAAAATTGTCTTCACTGTCATTTGTTCTTTTTGGAATGCCAATAGGTTGATTGAGTTTATTATTTGCAGGACCTCTTTGATTTCATTGCTTCTTCATTAAAGGAATTCATTGACAAAGAAGAAGATGGTTCTGAGTTTTCAATGGGCAGAAGAAGGGAACTTGGATTTACATTTTCTTATCCGGTGAAACAAGTGTCTGTTTCCTCTGGCATTTTAATAAAATGGACAAAAGGATTTTCCATTGTAGATATGGTTAGTCTGTGGGATCTTGAGTGGTTTCTGTGTTAAATTCTTAGTATGTTTGTGAAGAAACTGCAATTCCTGTTTCAAGGCACATAGCAAGATTGGATTAGTGAATTGGTGTTTCTGCATGTTCTGCACTGAAATGGTTGATCTGCAATTGGATAGTTATAGGATTTTGTTTAAATTTTTATTCTCATTGGCTTTTAGCCTACGGTAAACATATTTGTTGAGTGGTGGCAGTTAATTTTTTTCCCTCTCCTTCCGTAAAGATGTATTTGATATAGATTGCACAGTATGCTTCTAACTGTCTATATCTGGACCATGTTAAATAGCGCTATGGCTAATTTCTCATCTTAATTTTGTAGTCTCCCAGTGGGTTTGAAATAGATATCGAAGTTGTATCGTGATGATTGATGTGAACTACTAAGCGAAATATCTGGTTGTTGTCAGGTAGGACGAGATGTGGCTGAATGTTTACAAGAAGCATTAACACGAAAAGGCTTAGATGTGAAGGTAGCTGCCCTGGTAAGGAAATATTTTCATGTACCAAAGTTATGATTCAATTTGCATCTCTTCACCTTCCATTTTACTGCCCAGGGTTATTATTCTGTTTTCTCTTATACTTTCAAAAGTGAAATCCTGGTGCCTTGTGATCTCTCTATTAATATCGTCTTGAAATCAATTGAATATTTAAAAAATTAAGAAATGTCATTCTAGAACAGCCAAATATGCTTTATCTTATATGTAATTGTGAGCTATTACCTCTCTTACCATTGGTGCTGCTGTTCTTTAAGTTTTGCTGGTTTATTCTCCAATGTTTTTTGAACAGAGAGATTTCAATGACGCACATGAAACCATATTTCATATAAATGTGGTTATTAGTTTTATTTGTATGAGATTCAGATGATCGATCATGAGCTTCTTGGTATAGCTGCTAGTCTTGTATTTCTGAGGCTTCTCTCTAACACACAAGACCATCAATGTCAATTTCACTAATAAATAGAGAACTTGTTTATCCATGTTTGTGGTAATTAGTATTAGCTCTGCACCTGATTTCCTTCTTTATGTGGCTTGGAAGCTTTGATTTCTATGGGATATTAGGTGCGTATTCAGACATGTTTCATGTTATTCAAAGAGGTTATTACCATGTAATTTTAGCACATTATGGTTTTCCTTGTTACCCTCAAAAGCAGAAGCCAACACTCTTCCAGGGAAAAAGGAAAGAAATATTTAATGTAGTTATAAAAAAAGGCTTAGAGCCATTTCTTTTAAAAGGTTCATCCTCAAAAGTAAAGGAAATAAGTACAGCCAATTATTACGTCTGATCTTTCTATTGCATTTGTATTGAGATGTCTCCTGCATCTTTCTTTCAAAGGACTTAAAAGACCTTTTGCATATCAGCTTTGGCCCAGGTCTTTTAAACTGTGTAAATTCTAGAAGGAGAAAGAAATACTTTAGGCAAAGTGCACTTTTTGGTCCTCTAACTTCATACAAGGTTATAGTTTGGTTCTTTAATTTTAAAAAGTATTTTTTCAACCCTCTAACTCTAACGCTATTATGATAATTTTTTTTTTTTGGTTGGTTAACCTAGAACAATAAATTAGACGATGTGTTGAATAATTTTATCTCTTGATGAAGCCTTTTTATGCTTTTCTTTTTTCTTGAACTAGAGGATGGGTGGTGACAATTGTACAAATGGTACCTGTGTAAATGCTTGTCAAAATATGGAGTAATGTATTTCACTGTGTCTCTGTTTTGTCTTTCGAGGAAAATGCCAATACCTTTATTTTTTTCAATAATAATTTTAGGGAAAAATTAGTCATTTGATCCTTCAACTTTTAATTCGGTTATGACTTAGTTTCTCAAGTTTAGCTTGTTGCGACTTAGTCCTTGAGCTTTAATCTATTTAATAATTTCATCCTCACTGTTAGTTAAACTGGTGTCATCAACGGTGTTAGCAAACTATGTTTTTGCTTTTAAACACTGCTCTAAAAGCATTCAAGTGTTTCTCTTCTATGCAAGCTCCCTCTCCGGTAACAATGACGATACCCTGGCTCCTCAGATTCTTCATTTGCTTGTTCCTTATTCTTCATTTACTCCAAGCCTGAAATAAAAAGAGACACACACACGGACACAAGCCTCTCTTTGACCCCTTGATCATTAGATTTCGCCTCCTTTGCTTTCTTCGTGAAAAGGAAAAGGTACAGACTTGAATGTCCAAATTTAAAGAGTGTCAATCAAATAATCAAACTAAACCATTTTTGGGAGCTTTCACAGTAAAGGAAATGAAACTCAAGAAACCCACTCCAATCCCACCTGCCTTAATAAATTACAATAGAAGATGATGAAAGTTTTGTGGTGATTCTAACAAGTGTTCCTAAAGGAGAGTATGAAGAAGAGGAGAGAGGACCACTCCAGTGATTAGTTCTTGACAGAGCCAAGGTGAACTAAGCAAATTCTTTGCAGCATGAACAAACTATCACGCCACATTAAACAACCTAGCAAATATTGTGAAGGTGGGTACTCTTAATTCGATCAGCTCCTTGGGTTCCATAAGAACAAAGATGAAATATCCATGGGGACCATGAAGTGTGTTCCATTAGAGAGAGAGGCTTCTGTATTTTTTTTTTCCCAAGACTTGGAGTGAATGAAGGAGGAGGAAAATGTGAATAAAGAATTTGGGTAGCCAGGGGCCATCGTCCTTGACGTCAGAGATGAAGGGAACGTGCATAGAAGAAAGAGAAAGACCTGAATGCTTTTGAAGCAGTGTTTAACCGCAAGAACACAGTTTGTAAAAACCGTTGACGACACTAGTTTAACTAATGGTGTGGATGAAATTATTAAACAAACCAAACTTAAGGGAATGAGTTGCAATGAGTTAAACTTAAGGGATTGGGTCATAACCGAGTTAAAGTTGAAGGATTAAATGATTAATTTTCTCATAATTTTATCTTGGGCAAAGCGTGTGCTCAAAATTATGTAAAACTGATTCTTTTCAGACTACCCTCAGGTGTGACGTGTCCAATCTTGCTATAAGCGGGTGGGAATATCCAGACTTTCCAGCTGTCGTCATTTATGTTCATATTGTATGTTCATGATATTTTGTTTATTTTAAACAGGTTAATGATACTGTTGGGACATTAGCACTTGGACATTATCATGATGTAGACACTGTTGCTGCAATTATAATTGGCACTGGTACAAATGCCTGTTACGTAGAACGAGCAGATGCTCTTATCAAGTGTCAGGGTCTTCTTACAACATCTGGTTGCATGGTAACACTTTTCCTCCCCTTTTCTTCGTAACATATCAATGTATAATCCATCATTACTTAATCGAGTTTTTTTTTTCCTTTCTTTTTCTTTTTTGGGGAAAATCCTTCTCTTTGTTTGTTAGGTTGTCAATATGGAATGGGGTAATTTTTGGTCTTCCCACTTGCCAAGAACTTCTTATGACATTGATTTAGATGCGGAGAGCCCCAACCCGAATGACCAGGTTAGATTTTTGCTTCTCAATTACCTTTTTTTTTTTTTTTGGGATATAACATAACTAAAATCTTGGAGATATTGGTGCAGGGTTTTGAGAAAATGATATCGGGAATGTATCTTGGTGACATTGTAAGGAGGATTATCCTCAGGATATTACTAGAGTCAAATATGTTTGGACCAGTTTCTTCCAAGCTTTTAATGCCTTTCATTTTGAGGTTTGTACTATATCTCAATGACACCTCTGAGTCAATAAATTTTTGTTTGTAATTAAATGATTCCATTATCTGATTAGCACAGAACATTCTTTTAGTTGCCCTTGGCCAGTGAAGTTTGTATGAAAATAGGTGGATTTGGAGAGGATGTGTATACCACTGTTCATTGGCCGCACGCTGTTAGATCCGCATCCTGCATCAGTTTGCCTCTAGTCTTCCCCCCCCCCCCCCAAAAAAAAAAACCCAAAAATGCACCATCAAGTTGTTATTGCGATACTAGTTCCTACATGACTTGTCTGAAACACAGTATTTTTATTTTTGTGGGTATGGTCTTATTGTAATGTGCAACAAACTGGTGAACTAAGGATGTAAATCGTTTAAGGGTATGTATTTTAACCTTTGGCTTTGGCTGAGGTGATATATGAAAGCGACATATTATGCCACTTCATTTCTGTATGTTCTGAGATCAATTATTTTCTCTTAATATCCTGACCTAGATTCAAGTCTCAACTGTATCTTGGTGCTATATCAGGACTCCTATGATGGCTGCCATGCATGAGGATGATTCCCCTGAATTGAGAGAAGTGGCAAGAATTCTTAAAGACATCCTTGAGGTAAAAACATCTCCTTTATGGTAAAAAAATGAGTGACTTGCTTCAAAGTCTAATTATCATTTTTTTGGGGTGGATTGGACTCAGATTCCCAATGCTCCTCTTAAGTTGCGGAAAGTCGTGGTGAAGGTTTGTGATGTGGTAACCCGTAGAGCCGCTCGTTTGGCAGCTGCGGGTATCATTGGCATCTTGAAGAAGATCGGTAGGGATGGAAGTGGTGGCGTCACTGGTTTCAGGAGCAGAAGTGATTCAAGAATCAAAAGATCAGTCGTGGCAATTGAAGGAGGTTTGTATACTAGCTATACACTATTTAGAGAGTATTTGCATGAAGGTTTGAATGATATATTGGGGGAAGATGTTGCAAAGCACGTAATTCTTAAAGTCACTGAAGATGGTTCAGGCATTGGAGCAGCATTGCTTGCTGCTTCATATTCATCCTACAATGTGGGATAGGAGGGTACAGATGCTATAAGTATATATATAATATATCATGCATATATATATTCATATAGCCCTGTAAATCAGAATTCGTTTCATATTAATATCTCTGTATAAAGGGAGGTTCTGTCTATTCTTTGTCCTAATGTTGTCTTCATTTATATGATTCTTGCTTTGTTTTCAACATTGGTGTTCTTTTTACTGGACATTATTTAAAGGGAATCGATCTCCTGTATTAGTTGAGATCGTTTGTATGTAAGCGCAAGCAATTAGGAGTGTTCAATGACATTTTAAGCTTGGAAATTCATTAATATATATTCCTTTCTGAAAGTTCTCTTTCGGCCTAAACGTATTATAGTGTTCTTCTTCAGAATATGTTTTGGTTTTATGTTGAAAACTATTAAAATCATGTTCTTGATGGAAACAGCTATTTGCCAAGATGCCACTTGTTTAAAAGAACCAACAATATGTTAGGCAAGTTGGCCTGTACCAATTAAATGAAAGGCTTAGGGTCTGTTCACTGAAAAATTAGTTGTAATTTAGCTTCGATATGTGCAAATTGTGTCAGGAGTTCTAAACTTCTACAATGATATGCTCTTTCTATTCAATTTTTCAATTTAATTCAATATTTTATCTTCATTTTTTAGCGTTGATTTTATCTTTATGAAAAAATGTAAAACACAAGATGTGATTAAAAATTAAGCAAAGTAAAATTAAAGAAACTTGGGAACATAGGTCAAAGAGGAAAATGTCACTAAAAAAAAAGCCAACCCTTTACTTGCATTGGGAAAGAAAAAAATCACAAAGTGAGAATTAGGAGAAAAATAGGCAAGCAAACGTCTAATAGAAATTTGGATTTGTGGAATTGAGTTTGAGCATCAAAATTGATGTTAGAACATAAACTTAATATATTTCAAAAGAGAGAGAGAAAAACGGAAAAGCCAAAAAAAATTAAAAAAAAAAAACAGAAGTAAAGAAAGAGGGTATGATGAAAATTAAATGGATGACTCGGAAAGAGAGAAAGGAGACAGAGATTATGATATGATGATGACAGAGAAAGGTGAAGGAGGGCGGCGATGACAGTGAGAGGATGATGCTGATGGCTACCCTTAACAACAACAAAAGCAGCTCACTGAGTGGCAAATAGTTACTTACTTACTTTTTAATTTTTTTAATTTTAGTTTTGAATCATTTGCTTTGACCTGTCTTCTGTGCCCCACCAATTACTTCCAAATCTCTCTCTGATTTGATTTGATGTGTTTTGTTTTGTGTTCTTTTACCTCCCTAATTTATTTTATTACCAAAGTACCCACTACCCATTCCTGACATCCCCCTTCTGACGCAGACAATGACATCAAGAAAAGCCCCACAAAATATTAGAAATACTTAAATAGACTTTTGTCTATTTACTACAAAAAGGTAATAATAATTACTCAAAAAAATAATTACTCAAAAAATTGACAATAAAATAATGGGAAAATTGCAAAAAAAGACCTTGGAATTGCAAAAACGCAGATAGGGACCCTTGACAACTTCACTATGGGTTTTGACAACTTCAGGGCATATTATTCTTGTCAAAACCCATAGTGAAGTTGTCAAGGGTCCCTATCTGCGTTTTTGCAATTCCAAGGTCTTTTTTTACAATTTCCCCTAAAATAATTTCGTATAATTTTTACAAAATATTTTTTAGACTCTTAGATTTATTATAATATTTAAAAAATTATAAATACCATTGACATTTTGTCCCTTGTGTTGTATATGGAAAAATAATTGAATAAAAAATTGCAAGAGTCACATAAAATGAAAAAAAAAAATTAGACAAAGAAAAATGAAAACATGGAGCTTAACGCTAACCAAATTACTCAAAATCATAATTATGTCAATTACACAAAGAAAGTAGCTTCTTACCTGCAGAATTTTTGGACATTGAAAGTTTAAAAAAAATTCAGAGCAGACGAATCTTGAAATAATTTTTTGTTACCCCAACCAAAAAAAATCTCTAATCGCCACCCCTCTCCCCAACATTATTAATAGAACTAGCCTCGGCATGTGCTTTAATCATGCTGATACCCAACTGCAGTCACATCTACAAGATATATTCACCCAAAAAAGCCTTCGAAAAGAAATAAGACGAGAGAAAAAGAGAATCCAATGCATTTTAAGGTGTACGGTTAATCATCAGCTAATTTGACTAGGTGAACCAGAGACTGTTTTTCTAGTGATTTAAGTTTAAATGCCTGAGATAAAAAACTCAAACTAATCCAATCCAAACACCAAAGAAGAATTAAAAAGCACCACAATTGGAGGTGTTAGGAATATTTTATATCTGTATCCGTGCTTCTTAGATTTTCCATAAACTATAATTAGGAGGAGACAGCTTCCTTACAATCATCTGTTTCACTGGTTTCATCTTCATGAAAGCTTGGAGCTTTGGGAGTGAGTCCAAGTACTTTGAACATGAGTTGATCAGCATCAAAATCATTGTTAGGTGTCGTGAGAAGCTTTTCTCCCGTGAATATAGAATTGGCCCCAGCAAGAAAACACAGTGCTTGCTCAGGCATGGAGAACCGAACTCTTCCTGCTGACAACCTCACCATTGCTTTTGGCATAACGATACGCGCTGTGGCAATCATGCGAATCATCTCCCATATCTCAACAGGCTGAAACCAAATAGAAATGTACATTTGTTAGCAGATTCCCAAGGGAAAGTTTGAGTTTAGAGCATCTTCGGATGATAGCACCAACCCAAGCACGGTTTAAAAGGATATGGATATTCCCGTGCCCAAAAGGCTGTACTTGGACCAAAACACAAAAACACACAATTTTAAGGTGGACCCATTGCCTATGCATGGATTAGAGGATAATGGAAGAGAAGGAAAGGTTCCGTCAAAACATGTTCCTTGTTAGGGTTATAATTTAGAAGTGGGGAATAGGATCTTTCTAACTATTCATTCCTTTATCAAGCTCCTCAACGAGGGAGATTTTAAAGGAGAAAATTCCCCTAAACAAGGGAAAGTGAAATTATCATTTAAGCATCACTTACCTCTTCCGTTTTTCCTTGAATTTCTTCTCTTCCCAACTTCTAAACTTACCCTTACGTTTTAGCACTTACGAGGAGAGGAGAAGAACAAGTGTACATGGAAAATGGAGGGGAAGAGATCCAAGTTTCCCTTCCCCTTGTTTGGAGAAGCTTTCACCTCCAATATCCCCTAAAATTATAAACGAGGGAGAGTGTTGGATGTATTTTGGGGTTCAGTTGAGAATCCTCCAAACTCCCCCTTTCATAAATAGTTCTCAATAATGGAGAGGTTTCAATGAAACTTTCCCTTCTCCATTGTCTCCCATCCAAACATACCCTTAGTGATTGCACACACTCAGATTCTTTACCTTGATTTTTATTGAAACTACAGCACGTGTCAAAATTTCTGAGTTGATTTCTAATGCTTAGGAGCCCAGAAAATCTTACGAGGTATCTCCATATCTAAATAAAGATTTTCATAATAGAAATTCCCAAATTTGCATCTCTGTGCTGCTATGGAAAACTATGGAATATCACTATGGATTAAGCTCCACTGATAACACGTCTCAGTAATTGTTAAAATAGTGATTTTTTTTTTTAAGGTACAGTTTTGTAGTTTGACAAGTCAATCAACGAATTATAAAATTCACCTTCTGCTCCTGAAGTGGGGTGCCCTTTACTGCAACAAGCGCATTGATAGGAACACTTTCTGGATGAGTGGGGAGTGTGGCCAATGTGTGCAACAAACCTACACGGTCCTCCTCTGCTTCTCCAAGCCCTATTATTCCTCCTGTAACGAAACCTCAATGGCTCATCATTTTCTTTCCTCAAAGTTTAAACATCTTCTTACTACATAATATATAGAGTCCCTCTCATAGAAAATAAAATTTTTATTATTTTAATGATAAGTAACAAGATTAACAGTTAAAATAGAAAATGTAAATAAAGGATGGAGTCTTTTGCAGCCATTGGAAAGAACTGAAGTGTTAAGAGAAATTTAATTCTAAGCTATGAAGAACAGACACAAACACTATGGCCAAAAAAAATAACTGACACAAAGGATGCATATTGGCAAAAGCATCTTACTCAAACTGTAATATAAACTTTCCACTGAATGAGGTACAAAGGGAAGCCATATGCACAATTCTATCACATGAAACATTTAAAGACAAAGATGTGCCCTTGAAGATAAGACCACTCCTCTGCAACTAAACCACATTATTGTATTCGAAGTTATTAGGTGTTACCTGAACAAACATTAATCCCCGCATCACGAACAAACTCAAGTGTTTTCAGGCGTTCATCATAAGTCCTTGTTGTGATGATGTTTGGATAATATTCCCTTGAAGTATCAAGATTATGATTATAGGCAGTAAGCCCTGCCTTCTTGAGTTCAACAGCTTGCTCTTTCTCCAGCATACCAAGCGTGCAGCAGACCTCCATTCCCATATCCCTAGAATAAGTGTTACCATTTTGAATTTCCATTAAATAACTAAGATATACTTCACTACACGTGAGAAATTATAAGTTACACAGCACAAAAGTATAGTGAGGAAGAATCATCAGAGCTGTAAATTTTTCACAGCTCACACAATGCAAAACTTCACAGTCCTTGCCCTCCATTCTTTATACTGCTTCTTTCTTTTCTTTTTCTTTTTCTTTTTTTTTTAAAAAGACTTAACAATGGAAACTAACTCCACAAAGTAAAATATGAAAACAAGACAGGATAGTATGCCTAAGTCCCAATTAAATAGTATGAAATGTTTTATGGGATACTTAAGCAGCTTGATTCTTCCACCTTGAACAGCCAGTTTTCAGGGGAAGGTTTTTCCCCAATTATCAATCAGTGTCAGAGCTGGTTGTTGGTGCTCCTAGAGAGGGCTGCTTGTGCAGGGTTCCAAATGACAGGGAAGTTTAGTGAAGTGTCACATAGTGTAGCTCTCAACAAGACTTTGACTCTCCAGGGATCCAATTAATGGAAAAAAGAAGAAGAAGAAGAAGAAAAGGAAAAAGTATAAGTGCTGTATGGCATGCTTTAGCAGATTAGTTCTCCCACATCAATAGTTAGCTTTTGTAACTTGCGAGGGAAGGTTTCCACTCCGTTTGGTTTCACATCATAAATAACCTAATTTCTAGAGATGAACTAAATAAGTAAAAGAAGATGTAAATTAAATATTTCCTTGACTAATCACTCCCTAAGCGCCACCAAACAAGAACTTTAGGGGTGTTTGGTTGTGTCATTGAAAAACTAATAACATGTACGTAATATTTATTATATTCTTGTAATCATTACTTAATTGTAGATTATTTT